GCACTTGAGTGACTTGTGAACGGTCACGACAGATTTATCAGCCAGACAAGCGAAGCCGGGGAGGCAACTTCTCATTCCACTACAACTAACTCCAAACTTCGCCGTCTCTTTGCACACACTTCACCCTCCCCGGGCTGAAAAGAAATACAGCCTTTAGCCCAACCCATTCCTAACACAGTCACATCCCTGCCCTCTCCATCCCTTATCATCGAGGGCAGGCACTACTTTCAAGCAGGGGGGGGCAAAGCCCTGCGTGTCTCTGATGCATCGCCTGCACCGGGCGGCTCCGAGCCCCGCACGAGCGTGGAATACGCAAGAGAGCTGCAGTGCAGAGCAGGGATGAGCCGCCCATCCCCGCTCCCTGCCCGCCGTCAGGCTCTCCTCCCTGCTGCGTACAGCGTCGATAAACCGCGGCGGCAGGATAGGATTAAAACATGATCCTGAACTCCTCACGGCACAGTCATGGATGTTTCATTAAAGGCTCATAAAGCAAAGTCATTCGGACTATTTGGCAGCTAACAACTGCTCGCCCTCATAGCAGATTTCCTGACATCGTGACATTGCCTGGTCACAACATGAACGATGCAGGAGGGAGGAATAAAGTAAAACATTTCTTTTATAGCGATTCGCTTTGTACTCGTGCATTTTTAATATCCAATGTTAAACAATGTAAGACTACTAATAAATAGTTATGACCTACCTTATACAACGCAGATGTAGAGGCTGATCCCACAGCATATGCTACCCCGATAATTGAATCGCCCTGGAAACCATCTGCATATGCCATCATTACGATTCCTGTGATTGCCATTATTGCTGCCACTATCTGCACAGACAAAGCAAAGCAATGCAAAGCTCAGTGCCATTTCATTACACGGAAAGAGATTATCACTGCGTGGGGTTTTTAACGAGTGTCTCTAGCTACTTTCTCTGACTTGAAGCTTTCTTGCTTTCCCTTAAATAGGGAAAATTATGTACGGTTGGGAGAGACGTAAAACGTAATGAAAGTGTATGCACTGAGAGTGATATGGATCTAGAGCACTGCAAATTCTCCTGGGACTGACTGAAAGAACATCCATCATCATGCATTTTATAAGCTAAACATCCACTTTGGAGATACGACTCCAAGCTCAAGAAATTTTAAGACATTACGCTCTACTCTACAACAAGAGAAAGTACTTCGCAATGCCACCAATTTGACTTGAAATGCAAACATTTAGATGGCCAACCTTCCTGGACGTCAGTCCAGGAGAATGACCCCTGTACTGTGGAACACCAGTGTACCGCCAGGAGCTCTGCATGGTATTTCCTAACAGCCCTGCCAGCTTTCTTGGACAGACATAACCAAATTTCTTTATGAAGCCTTTACCTTTGTGCTTAGGTTTTTGGCCTCATTTGAAAATCCCAGACAGAGCTTCTAAGGAGCTTTAAAGAAAGAGAACAGAAATAATTAACTACACCATATCTGAAATCCTGCATCTTGACTCCAAGGACCTTAAGGAAGTGGTAGGGATCCCGACATGTTTTATTCTTTGAAAAACTTCCCCTCTCTAGCTAATTGCCCTCAGCAGGTAAATACAGAGTCTGAATTGCAAAGACACTGAATACCTGGCTTCCATGGACTGCAGAGGAATACGTGTTTCCTCAGACCTGTGGAAAATCACAGCCCCATTTCTGAAAGATGGGGGGTTTTTTATAGAGATTTTTTTTAAAAAAATTAGTATTACACTAAACATTTTCTCATTATAAAAAAGCTGTTCACAAATGAGAGCTGGGTGTAGAGCAGAAGACGCACAAATGCAGATACCCAAACCTGGCTGCTACAGAATCAGCAGCAACATTTAAGGTTCAGACCCTGTTTGCACTCCCAGATCGCCATCAAATCACACAACTCCCCAGTGGAAAGGCAAGGCAGGCTCTCCCCACTCATACAAAGGGTGAAATGTGGTTCACCTCAATGGCGTTAACTGCTGCAAGCCCTTGGCGTTAACCTCTGCAAGCCCTGCCACACCAACTGGCTCCCAAACTCAATTGCTGAGCCAGGCAGGGCTTTTTACCTTCTTGCTCCTGCAGCCCTGGTACAACTCCTGAGCCACCACCAACAAGAGATGGATGCTTGCTTCCTGGAAAACCTCATTAAACTTTATTTAAGAAGTATTTACTACTAGACAAACCCTCACATGCTTCACACAACAGACTTCAAAGGCATCTTGAACAAATCATGTGCTCTTTTGCAGAGAAGCCTGACTTTCAGATCTCACACAGTTTTACCAGGAGTCCCAGAAAGCCCACTGATACTCACACCAAGCAGATGTGAGTCAGACTGAGGCAATAAGCCCCCAAATCCTACAAAACCTACAAAAATCCTACAACAGAGCCAGTCAGTAGAGCAAACCCATGTTCCAAGGGACACACAGGACAGGGACACATGCCTGACTCCGGTGAAGGTGTCCACGCATGGAGGACAACGGGGAACCAAGAATCAACTCCCAAGGTGGAGCCAATCTCTGAGACTGTAGGTAAAAATGTTAAGTGCTCCTAAATCCCATAGGTATCTAGGCCAACACCTTCACTGGGGAGCTCATCTCCCGGGTGCAGCTTTAAGGACTTCCCTCTCACCGTTAGCCCCACTTACCAGTAACTGAGGCACACAGGTACCCACCTTGCATTGCAGTCGCAGTGCCAAAGGCAAAGTCACAAGCCACAGCGCATGTCTATATCCCACCTTACTTCTATTTAAAACACCCAAGCTCCAACATACAATTCAACAAAGCTGCCTAGATGTCTCCTAAACCTGAAGATACCATTGATACCTCCAAATTCACCATGAAATCCAGGTCCTCCAACTTAATGACAAGGGCTGGAGTCACATACATACTCACAGGCTCTCAGGTGTAATGCAATGGTTTGATGAGATCTGGAAGGGCTTTAGAAAGAAGGGACCAGGTGGCTGCCCTCCCTTCCTTCCCAGAATGACACAACCCAGCAGTCAGGCCATCCTGGGAGGAGGGCTTGAGTCCCTTCATCCAGAGGAGGGACGTGGATCCAAGACCACCATCCCTGGACTCAGGGCTCTCACTGGCAAGCTGCTGAGGAGGACAGGAGAGCACACTGCATTTTCCAGTGCCTAAACAGGGAATCTGGCCTTCATTCCTTAAGTGAGATGGGGTGCTGGAAGACATCACCCTTTGCTGTTCACCCGCCTGAAAAGTCAGGGCACATCTGGCACATGTACCACCAGGACACACATACCATCACCCAAGATGCAGCAACGCTTATTTTGATCCCTGAACTTACCCAAGGACCTGCGAGCAAAACAAAGTTAAATTCTCTTAGAAGAATGAGTTTCAGTCCCCTTCCCTTACAGAGCTTCTCCCTCCCACCTTTGGTTTAATGAGTAGTTTGTTAGTGATATAATTGTTCTCCTTACAGCTTATCTTAGGATACAAATATCACAAAAGTCCAGAATTACACTCGGGACCTCCCAGACATCAGCACGGCCCCTCCTATCAGTTTCCAGAAGCCCCCCTTGCCCTGCTACACCGCCTGGCTGGTTCCATCTCAGGCTGCACTGTGCACCTTGCCTTGCACATAAATTCAGATGTAGCATTTTGGCTGTCAGCTGGAATATTTCAGCTGTAATATTTCAAGCAATGTCTCCCAAAAGGCAAAACAGAAATGTCCAATGTACTCATCCCCTTCTTCAAAGGGAAAGGATCAAGATTTGACTCTTTGTGCACTCATGGCTCAGACCCAGCAAGCGAGTCCTTTCCTTGTATTAGTGGAAATGAGCAGATCCATCATCCACAATAGGAGATTCTTCCTCTTGGGAAAAACACCTTCCCAGTTTGACTACATCAAACTCAGGGAGCCAATTTCCTAATTTAATCAAATATTTAGAAAGCCAGGCACTTTTTTTTTTTTCCCCTGAAACGACTGAAATGATGGACACATACAGAGCATCATCTCAGGAGACATTAGATAAATAAGACCCAACACTGGAAAACAGCGAGGACATTATTTAAGCTTCATATTCAAAGCTCTTCCTGCAAATTATCCACCACTGCATTAGCACAGCTGACCTCTGCCTAGCAATTGGCATGTGTTTGCTTTAGAAACCTGAGAGCACATCCTGCAGGCTTCTGTAGGCTGACAAGAAGAAGCAAGGTCACAGCAAAGCAAAGCTGGTTGTTGTAGCTGACACCTCGTTAAACAAGGCTTTTAATTAATGGAAGAGGGTAGTAACTTTCTTTTAGAGCCTCCTAGGTAAAGAATGAAATTAGCCTGCCTCTTTTTTTTCCCTTTTTTATCCCTGGAAGAGATGGAGGCCAACCAACACTTTACTCAGGAGCATTTTTTTTTTCACATGGAGCACAGCAGTAAATGAGGTGCTGTAGTAAAGAATCCTGCCTCCAGACTACAGCCAACCTTTTTTGGGGGAAAAATGTCTCCAAACCACTCCCCACCTACCTAGTAAGCAGTAATTCAACTCCACAGATGAAACAACCAAGGGCTCAAACATGTAAACAAATCTAAGCAACACAAGCCAACAGAAATAGTCAAATACATGAAGTCTTTTAAATACTTGTGCTTGCTCTGAGCCAAAGCTGTCTGGACTTCCAGAAGTCCCAGTGTAACGTGGCTACATTGTTAATTTGTGAGATGTTCAGAAATGTCCAAGCAAAGATTGCGGTGCAGGCAGGGATTGTGCCCTGTCTCCTTGTGCAGGGCAGTAGGTGCCCCGGGTACCGAAGGTCTACCTACACTACTTTTATAGGCAAATAGCAGTCGTTGCTGTGTATGCACTTCTCTCATGAATTCTCTTTCTCCAGCTAGCGGTTTTTTCTCTCAGGTTGGGTGCAAGCTGCTTCCCACGCTACAGCATCACTGCAAGGGCATGTGGCTCTCGCTGCACAATGCACGCTCCGGGTAGCTCAAACGCAGCCAGGGCAGCAGGACCTCTGCACAGAGCCCCCAGCAGCACTTCTACAGCTCCTCAGCACTTCCACGGGCCAGATTATGCCCTACCATAAGGTGGCCGTCAAGACAGGTTTGTCTTTAGACAGTCCATCTGAAAGTCCAGCCCCCCAGCCTGTCCGGCAGCGGCTTTTCGGGGTGTGCAGAGCGGCGTGCTGGCACGCAGCTGGGGGATCGGAAATCTTGGAGACGGCTTGGAGACTGCCCGCAGCAACACCAGGCGGGCAGGGAGCTGGCGATGCTGGAAATCGGCTGCAGAGCTGCTGAGCCTTGATGGCTGCTGGTTCTCAAGCCCAGGCGGATGAAAGCTGTCTCGGGCACACAGGCGCCGGCTGCATCCCCACCGCCCGTGTGCCGCAGACGTGCCCGACGGCTCTGAAGCTCTGACAGAGCTGCTAGGAGCCAAGCTCCTTTGAAAAACTGGCTGTGCTCCTGGGTGCCAAGGGCTTTTGCAAAAACACTGGCTCAGAGTATGTGATTAAGCCCTTATTTCTTTTCATCCCCTCACCGTCCAAATAACCTAATTACACTTGCTCTCTGAGAGGCTGGGGGGGGGAAAGCAGTAGTGGCATTCCAAGAACAAAAGGCTGGGTCCGCGCTGCTTTGTCGTATTTTAGTTCTCAAACACTCTCCTGCGTGGTTATTAACATCATTAAGTGTTATTCTGGCAGGAGGGCTGCTGGAAAATGCTGCTAATTACCTTTCCAGCACTGTGCATCCAGAATCTGCCAGTTAGCAGCAAAACCAAGGTTGGTTTTTTTTATTTTTTCTACGTGCAGGATTTGCTGTTCACTTCTTCTGCCAGGTTTTTCTTGTGCAAACCTCACGGTGTTTACCACATTAATACTAATGCATATTTATAGCAACTTTTTTTTTTTTTTTAGTTAGTGAAAAATAACTAATAACTGAAAATAGCTTTAGTATTTTTCATCTAGGTTTCTTTAAGAGAGTAGGCTGGGAAAATACAAGAGTTACACTTCCTCTTCTAGTAAAAGGTTGCTTTGAGACATAAATTAGCTTAAAGGGTACAAAATTTCCCATTTTTCAGCTGCAACCTGAGAAGATCAAGGGGCAGAGGAGGGAACTACGGCCTCCAAAGTTACCATTCCTGTTAATTTCTGTAGAGAAGAACTGAGGATTTCAAACCCCGCTTACTCTTTGAGTTAGTCATCAGCAGGCTGAGGGCAGGTCACATTCACCTGACGCATCTATATTTTAAGTTGTATATGAAATAGATACCCAGATGTCTGGCTTTAGCACTGCCAGGTGAAATGTCTCTGTCCTTACCTTCAAGGGCTCTATGGCTGAGGTCTGGGAAACACCAGTTCACCTCCTCGCCTCTGCCTGGACAGGACCGACCCTCTGCTGGGCCAGACTAACAAAACCCTGCTGGCAGATCCCTACCCAAGAGGTCACTTGCGTGGTGGCACGCATGTCTGGAGGTGCTCAGGCCCCGTGCCATTACTAACTGCCCAGCCAGCCCTGTCTCACCAGGAAATTAGAGGAATTGTCTTACTTTAAAGAATTTCCTTTTCCATTCCCAAACCACAAGTACAGAGCTCTGTTCAGCGTGCTGGTGGCTGCTCCGAGAGCTGGATCAGATGCCTGTGGAACAGGACGCCTTTTCCTTTCATTTCTGAACTCTTTTATCACACTATTAATCAAAAAAAGCTGCTGCGCTCATTTTTTAAAAACCAAACAATCCTGATCAATCACGCTTTCTGTGAAACTTAAACCCGATTGCTGGTGGCCCCTTCTGGTCCTAGGCATCACACCTCGCCCCAGCCAGTCTCTAATGGAGTTCAAGGCTCTTGATAGTTTGATCAGGATTGTACCCAACACGACCATTAGGCCTTGAGCCATTTCAACGGGGGAATCTGCATCGGCAGAACTGGCAGAAGGCCTAGCTAGTCCTTAGCCAAGGTATAAAGTCAAGTTTAAATTGCTGTGTATTAGGAGATTTGTGGATGTAAAATTACAGAAAACATTCTTGCCTTCCCCCAGATCCAGGTACACATCATTTCGCTCGAGTTCTTTTTTTTTTTTTTTCTTTTTGCAGGGTCCATATTACCGCCAGTGAGTCCTGTAACACTTTAGTGCAAAATACACCTTCATGCAAAACAGTTGCTGTCCCTTTTAAACTGCATTTGGCACATGCGCATGTGTAGTCGTTTATGGGCATGTAAAAAGCAATAGGGTGGCATAAGAAAAAAAACATTCCATATTGAAAAGAGCTATCTACACAAACAAGGAATAAAATTGCTTTGGTTAGAACCTAAACATTTATCACTAAGTTTAAAATAAAATCGACTGTACTTCAGCACTGTTACCCAAGACAGAGTAGGTTTATGTGAAACTGGAAGTCCTCCTATTCTAATTCATCAGATTACACTTAGCTGTAATAGCTTCTTGAAATTCCCACACTGTAATACCTCTGGAGCCTGAGATCTCTATCTGATACTCAGGCTTAGGTTTGCATCATAAAATTAAATGAGAAATGGTTTCATGGTATATACATACCATAATGCAGCAGTACTATGGCAGCACAATAGCTTATGGATTTAAGGGCAATTATGAAAACAAGAGAGAGTTGAAAATCAGGCATGTCATTACCCTTGCTCCCATGAACCTGTCTTTCAGCACAATCCAAGAAAGCAAGAAGACAAAAGCTTTGTTACAACAGAATAGGGCAGAGACGTCTGTGGCTGTCAGCTTCTTTAAAGCCAGTAAATACAGGTAGTTAGTCAAAGTCCACAGAATAGAAAAGGGAGCAGTCCTTTTAAGAAAGATTTTCAGCGTCAGACCATCTTCACCAAAAATCCGACTGCATTCCCTATGAAAAGAAAAGAGTTTAAAACTCAGCCAGGATTTTCCTTAGCATTCACTCCAGCACAACAAACATTCATTAGACTTTTATCGCATTCAAGTAAGTACTTTTCCTAACTACTCTGCACCCCCCTAAGAATCTATTGTTTAATTTGCATACAGAAAATAACCTACAATCTTCTTAAAACAGCAATTTTGCAAATAGAAAAGAAGTAACTTACCTGGAATAATCACACTCTATGCAACAATAATCCCAGGGACTCAGGCACAGAAATGAAGGTTATCTGTAACGCACCGACAGTTCTCAGACTCTGCCTTCGAGGCCATGAACAGAGGGATTATAACTGCAAATTTTTTTTTTCTCTGTAGCTTGACAATTTTTTTTTTTTGCTTTACTCCAAAACCCACCTTTCTTCTTATTGAAATATATTCTAACGCCAAGTAAGCTTTAAGAATTGCCTAAAGATACTCAAAAATACTGCCAGACACATTGCCACGGTGGGAAAAAAGAGCCACTGGCCAGTGAGACTGAGCCAGTCAAACAAGAGTGTAAGGGAAGAAAGGAAAGGGGAAGGGAAGGGTATTTAACAGCTGTATTTTATTATACGGTGAAAAGCTGTGCTGGCTTGGAGGTGCTTCTTTGCGGACTAAATTGCAAAGAAAATCTCTAGCTTCCCAAAGACCGCGTCGCACACAACTTAAATGAGCTGTTTCCTTCTGAGGATTTCATGAAAGAAGGGTTGGCTCAGCAGATGCTGCTTGTGGGGACAGCACGCCTGTGCAAAGTGGTCCCTGCGTGGGCTAGGAGGAGATGAAGCATGCAACTTGACCACAGGTCCATCACTGCACCCCTCCTGAAACATCCCTACCTTTCCCAAACTGGGAAGGGCAGTTTTTAGCAACTCCACTCTCTGTGCTCCTGGTTAAAGCTATTCCTGAGGTATTCCCGGTACGCTTCATTTCCTGACATGGCAGGCTCTTGGACACCTCTGTTTAAAACACGAGAGGTCCCACGAGTGAATGCTTCACCTAACCGAAACACCAACGGAGCGAACCAAGGTACCATCAAACGGCAACTCATCCTTACGTGGCAATATTCAGGGACTCATCTAAATGCCATGAGGCCTCGGGGCCCCAGAGTATTCACAGCCAAACATGGCTGTGTTTGGAAGATTGCTAAACCACTAATTATGTAGAACTAATTTAGTAACTTCAAAGAATGCACTGCAATGTGAAGTCAAAAACACTTGTTGTTTGGGGGTTGGTGGTGGCGATGCAGTAATTACCCTGATTTGGCTTTGCCTTTGAAGACAGAATCGTTTTTTGGTCTCCTAAACCACTTTTAGTAATTCTGGGGAATTCTGCTGTTAAAAATATTGCCGTTTTTTACTATTAAAAATGGAAAGCATCACTCTCGTTTTGAGGAAAGTAGAATAACATCATCTATGTAATACATGAGATCAGATCTGCCTTACTTAATAACCATTCATTCCCTGCTGCCACTAAAATGAGCTGGGGTACAAAGCAGTCATTTCTGGCAATAAAACATGCCTTTCTCAAACTCTGCCAGGGTGTCCAACAAGTTAACGCTCAGGCAGGCAGATCTGCTAATTATCTCCTTCACTCTGGTTGACCTAGACATGCTCAGAAGTCAGCCTGTTCTCCACAGACCGGAACAGAAATGCTACACATAGAAAGCAAATAGCTTGTATCATTTATCTGAGACGTAAAGCAAATACTCCGTGAAGCAAATTAATTAATACTTAAGTTTGACCATAGGCTTTTATATCACTGATTTCAACAGGAGTAAGGGTGATGAGTTTCCTTTGAGAATGGATTCGCTGGTAGCACAGATTTGAATGTTGGCTGACATGCAGATTTAGCAGTTTACGTTTAAAAGATGTTTTTCTCCCCATGAGACTTAGGAGGATGCAGAGGGTGATTCTGAGTTCAGACTACATCTCACTTCAGGGCAGGTGGCCTCTGACCTGGACGCACCGTGGCTGTGACACCATTATGGGACACCAGAGCCAGGATGCCCCATCTCTGGGCAAGAACAGATCTGCAATGTGAACTACAGACCTGTACGGAGCCTGCTCTCTCCAACCCAGTGGGAATTCTGCCATCGGTTTTGATGCATGATTGGATCATTACACTGTTGTAAAACCAACCTGTCTCAGAAGCTGTCAGGATCTGTCTTGGAGGAAACAAGCTTGTGCTGTGTTAAAACAAGAGAGAAAGGTGCTTGGGCTGCTTGCAGCAATGCAGGGCGCAGTTAAGTACCCCAGTGCTATGCTGATAGCATACAAAGGCAACAGCAAAACCATCTGAGCTCTAGTGGGGCCTGCAAGGCAGCAGGAAAAGCTGGTCTACAAATGTGCCATGCGAAATTATACCCCTGCCATCCATCGTGGCCCCTCATCGTGGCCAGGGAGATGCTGGGAATAAGCCCAGCGCTTCTGCTCCTCCATCCACGGGGAGGGTGGGTAGCTTCCAAAGCCAAAAAGTGGGGGGTGGAATGCCAAAACGGGTGAGGTTTTCTAGTCCTGCAGATCGTGGGGGGTGGAATGCCAAAACGGGTGAGGTTTTGTAGTCCTGCATCTGGGATGCCTGCACACAGACAAGCTCACAGCAGAGTCAGGAGGATGGAGTCTGAAGTGCCCTGACTGGGAATCCTCGGAAGGATGAAGCCTGGGTGATTATTGTATTACTCCTGGTTGGATGGTGTGGGCTGGTCAACTATTTGGGAGGAGGCAGCTGTGCCAATGCTGCAAATGTCACTTATCTCTCAGTTCCCAGGAGCAGTGGGAGGGATGAGCACAGCTTCACAGCTAGGAAAAGAAATCTGGAAACACTTCAAAGGCCCCAGGCAATGGAGTGTTTAAGCAGATGGGACAGCCTCCATCACACACAGCAGCGTACAATGACCAGACCAAGCAGGGGCCAGCAGTTCCTCACCTCTCAATTAAAAATAACCGGCAAAGACTTGTGACATGGCTGTGCTCAGCGAGACAGAAACCTGATGAATTCACCTCCGTGCCTAGGAGGACTCCATGAGTAATGCTCAGCAAGTGAGGAGATAGGAAGAATACTTTATTTTCCCAGTCATGGCTACAGCGGATTGCCTCGGGCTTTGTGAGGGTTGGTTGCTCAGTGGTTAACTCAGCCTCTTTGGCATGCAACTAAAATTAAACTTGCAGGAGTCATCACATGACAGTGATTAAAACCCTGGGCTCAGGAGAGATGGCTCCATGGATCCCTCCCCATACAGATAGTATCTGTAGGCTGTTGACTTAAAGGCAGAGACATATCTAAGGGCAGCTGACCCTGAAACTGACACAAACTATTTCCAAATGCACAAGAAGTCTATTTAAAACTTGCCCTCTAACATAAATAGCTCTTTTTATTTGCAGGTAGCCCTCAGCCATCAGCTCTGGGCAGCATGCCACACTCTCAGGAATTACAGCACCTCAGGCAGTCATGTAGCTTTGCCTCTGGCACCCCCTAAATAGCTTGCGTGCCTCTTAGTTATTCCGATGCCAGCCCCTGCAGAAGAATGGGTTTATTCACCCCTGACGCACAGCAGCCTCTGGAGTGTCATGCAGCAGCTGGTTTTAAAACAGCTTACAGAAAAAACAGAGCCAAGAGACGCTACCTGGGGTAACGTGAATACGGCGAATGTAATTACATCACCCAGATTAAAACTTGGCAAGGCCACCGGTGACATGATGGTGGCAAGAAGCACCACGGGACCTTTTTGTGAGCACAAGTTGTTACCATGTCATTTGGTCCTTCTATCTAAATGATGGCATCTGCTGCAATAAAATATCTTCCAGCTCCATTTCAGGAAACAGACACCAAACAGAGTAACGGTGGTTAAGCAACCAGTGAATTGTTTTCCAGGACTGACCGGGTCTGAAATTATGGAACAGCCTGGCCAGCTGTATGTGTGTGCTCAAGAGCTGGAGGAAAAGGAAAGGGAACTGTGCGTGAACCTTCCACATTAAGCAGTGCCTGGCTTGGGGGGCAGCACCACAGGAATGCTGTCTCCCAACAGGAATGGTCCAAGGGAAACCTTGGTTTTGTGCTGCTGGTCTTCCTCCCTACTGTTGAGCTATTCAGGGTTGGAGCAGCTTCAGGCAACAGAGATCCTCACCTCTCCTCTGAAAAGCCCTTTGGAGTGAAGTTCTAGATTTGCAGTGCTATTCTGCAAGTGGCTGAGGAAGCTGGACTGAGATGGACATAGATGGAAAGGTTTGTAGGTGACAAGCTTGCCGATGACAGATGACAGCAAATGTCAGCCACTGATGGCTCTGTTTTTACTTCAAGTGATGCTCACATCTTGTTATCCTTCTTGCTAGAAAAACAACTCTTCCCAACGTGTTCATATTTATTAAACCCACACGTACCAACACTCTTCCTAGCCAGTGCCTCAAGGCTGCATTGCGCCTGCAGGACTAACCTCAGCTATTACATAGTGGATATATTCTGTCAGAAAGCTGCTGAATGTCACACTGTTCATCCTTGAGAAGCCAAGACCGTGGATGAAGAGGCAAAATTTATTGACACTGAAAATATCATCCACCTATTCCAAATCATAACTCTATTAGATTCCTACATCAAGTCTGTGGAGTGTCTTCTGCTGTGGTAAATACCGGCAGGGTTAGATTTCCTAGGGCTGAGCTTACTGAGCTACAGATCATTTTATTCACCACTAATGCAAGGAGTTTCAAGTTCTTTATGTGGGACATACCTTTTATCTACAATACTGAGGGGATACCAAGAGCGGTATCTTCTGCCTCAAGACAACCATGACACTGTACTGAAATGTAGCAGGGAGGTAATAACCATGGGTTAGTTTCTAAGACCACAAAATTTAATCTCTAAGGTAAAGTGTGAAAGGTAAGAAACACACAGTTTACAATCTCAAAGATGATAAACCTTTCAGAAAGCCAATCTAAAGTTGAAGATTGAGACTTCTATCCTTCCAAGTGGGATTTATTAAAGTAACAGCGGCTCTGTACAGCTTTGCCAGCCTGGGGCAGCGCTTGGCAAGTCATTCGCACGATCACTGATCTCTGCCAAGATATCACAGACACTGTTTGTTCTGATCCACTGGGAATATCTGCTGGACAAGATGTCGTATGTCTTTAAAGCTCCTAGTGAGTAACTACAGCCTCCAGAAACACAAAGACAAATCACCTCTGGACTCTGAGGCAGGCCTGGAATCGCTACAGGACGGGCTTTATTGACAAGAATTAGCTACACCACAGAAATAAAACCAGCACACCGAAGCAACGAGAAATCTCACAAAATGTAATAAAGCGCCTTGGAACAGGAACAATATCAAGAACACAAACCAAGGAATTACACAAACAATTGATCTAGCTTTGGAAAGAACCTTGTTCTGAGTAGGAGGCTGGGTTAAATGACTTCCAAAGATCTTTTCTGAACTAAATATGTCTATAACTCTCTGCATTTAAAAATGACAAATGATGCTTTTCAATTCTTTATGTCATCAGAAAATCAAGCGCTCATCCTGGAGAGATGTCTGTACCAATACCCAAACTGAGTGACTTTGGCTTGCCAAGTTATAACACGGCACAGACCAAGCAGCTGGTCCCCATCATAAAGTCAGTATTTACCAGTGGATACCTCCTTCCTGGGATGTGAGTTCCCGATATATCTGGAGTAGGAAATACCCTGGAAGATGCCTTTCCATTGGCTCATCAGCTCTAACACCAGTCTCCTCTTTCCACATATTCACAAAACTACTTCACATCTCCATGTGTGCAGAAATTCCTCTGGGCGTGCAAGTGTGTGTCCTCAACTTCAAAAGCTGAACTCCTAATAGCTTGGGAAATGTATCAATTATTTAAGCATACTTCTATTATGCATTGCCACAAATGTTTTGCCCAAAATTTTGCTCTGATGGATATGTAATCAACCAACTAACTGCAGAGGATCTATCTGCAGGGATATTTATTCTCACCTTCTTCCTTATCTGCTGTGCTTTTGTTATTTCTTTGCCCCGTACCCAGACGCCACGCCAACACTGTTAATGTTCTCACAAATACTCCTGCAAGAATCTGAATGAAGGCATCATTAACGTACAAAGCACCAGGGTTTTCAGAGAAGCAGTTAATTAAGTGCAACTGTTCAATTTCAGTCACGCAGATTTGACAGAAATGACAATTTAGGGCCAAATTACATCCCAGATCCTGGCAAAAGCAGGCAAGGGAAGAATTTGGCCCTGCAACTCTCCAGCCTGACAGTCACAAATTGAATTCCCTGTGTGCTCAATGACAGCTGGGCTGAACCCTCTGTCAGCGGGAACAAGGTACGGGCCACCCGCTGGTTAATACCTTGCAGAACAGACAATTCTGCTGAAGTCAGTAAGGTTGTTTCCAAAGCAAGTCTGCACTGGAGTAACAGAATTGGGTCCCAGCTCAAAATTATCCTGTGAATTTCTTCCCTCCATGGGCAAGGTGTGTTATCCCGTGGCAAGCTGAATTTAGCTCTATCCTTTAAAGCAGCTTCTACTTCGCTGCCAGATTGGTAGAGTAATGGAAGTGGAGGAGGAACTGTGAAATGAATTGTCCCAGAAGTTGGGGGTACTTCCAAGCCCTGAGGACAGGTTAGATACAGCTTTCTTAACAAATGGCTAGGGTGAAGCTAAGCCAGCCTGGTCCTGCTGCAGTGCTGGTAGTTGGACCGGCTGATCTCTTTGGGTTCCCCTGCAACCTTCTATTTCTATGATTTCACAGTGGCTACTGAAGAGGGATGTATAAATTTCCACCCCTGCAGACCAATGTTATAGTTGTTAGTACTATGGACTCCTTTGCACTTGAGGTTGACTTCAATTACAACACGCAGCCACATGGCATAAGGAAAGGCTGGGGTGGGTCAGAGAGGCGTTTTCCCCTGGCTTTCGCAAGACAGAGGAAGATGTATTTCCACAGGGAGCCTCAAAGAAGATGGGTTTAATTCCTACCATGTGCAAAAGAGAGCAGAGAAGGCTACTAGGATGATCTTCCTCCATGCTATGATCCAGCAGGAGGAGGAAAGCACAGTTTTCATCCTGCTATTCTTGCAGAGCACAAGCCATGGTCTTCCTCATGGAAATCACCTCCTTTGAGCACCTTCTCAACTATGAGTTGTTTTGGTTGGACTTTACGCTACCGTTCTATCTTAAATGGAACAGAACAGATTAAATAACGGCCAGTGGAAGCTTGATGCAGAGATGAACACAAAATATAGAGATATTAGATAATATAATAACAAGATTATAAGCAAATTGACCTTTTTATATCAATAAAAAAATCCCTCTAACAATCAATTATCCATTTATTCAAGCATGTATCATTCGTTTGTTAGCCTTCTGTAAGCTATTTATGAATGAGATTTTCTGCAGCATGACCTTCCCTCTGCCTTCTGACACCATGGGTCAAACTGAGAAGCACAGGGATCTCAGACCACAGAAATAAGGTTCTTTAAAGGGATACTGCCACGATAAAGCCTACCTGAATTTTTTGATTGGAGACTGCTTTTCCTGCGCAGTTGCTAGGTGCCCAGAATAATAAATGGGGAAAATCATAATGTTCCAGTTTGTTGAGAACCAAGTCATGAAAAAAGGACAGTCAAAGGTCTCATACGTGATTTTGACAAACTGCGTGGTCCCGACCCAGGAGGAAGAGACAGACAAAATGATCAGAAACCTCCAGATAAGCTTGAGAAATGTGGATGTGCAAGACTGGCATCGTGTCTGTCCTTCAGCTTCTTGGCTGCTGCTCTCCGTGTGCGTTTGTGTTCCTTCCTCTCCTGGGAAAAAAAAACCAAAATAACCAGAAAAAGAGAAGAGTTGTACACATAATGAACGCATTCAAAACAATTCTTGCCTTCTCCCTAAAATCCCTCTATTCCCCACAAACACTGAAATCCTGCACAGAAATACTTCAGTAATACCGTCTTTGTCATTTCAAGGGGGCAGGAACAAAATACAAACACAATGCAGAGACCTGAGGTAGCAGCATTATGGTTAAGCTGTTGCCACTGTTTGCTTTATCAGCTTTTCTTTTCTTCTGTCAGCCAAACCTCTAGAACAGAGCTACATCCCTTGGAACCAACTACATTATAAAGGCAATTTCTGTGCCTGTGTGCAACATAAAAGCTCTCTGAGCCTGTACATCTGAAGCCAGGAACAAGTTGTTATCATTCAAGATTTTAACTCAAGAATCACTTTTTTTGTTTTTTTATCTGCAAGCTGGGAGGGGAAAAAGAAACAGTTTGGTGAACCACAGTGGATACTGAGAAGCACTAACACTGTTGCCCCATGAGCTTATGTCGCAGCATTAAGCTCCAACCATTTACCCCATTAGACCATACCACATCGCTTTGATAGAAGAAACAGGAGTTCCTTCTAAAAATCTTGACCTGCAGCTATTCTCAACTATTACCACCAATTATCTGTCGCATCAACATATGATGTGATATACCTAAGAAACAATACAACTGTTCATGTTAACAGAAGCTATAGATCATAGAATCATAGAATTGTCTAGGTTGGAAAAGATCTTTAAGATCATCAAGTCCAACCGTTAAAGTCCAACATCAAGTCCAACTGCAGATCCACTGCAGTGAGAGCATACGCTGTCCTACATTCAACTTAAACGTGAAAAAGGCACCCTTTCAGACTCAGGTTTACTTTCCTTTTATATTACTGTTTCTGCTAGAGCCATAAAGAAATGTCAATCTGAGGTTCAAAGTTATTACATTAGACCAACATTACATTTAAAAACCGATTCATCATAGCAGGGAGTGCATTTGCAATCAAGAATTTTCCTAACCAGGGCATGAAGCTTTTTGAAATTGTAATTGTATGCTCTATTTTTCCCCTAAAAATAATCAGTATTCAGTGCCTCCATTGTTTAGTGGTGAATCAAGAATTTAAATAAAATTACAGGTTTATTAAAAACATGCAGGGGATAATCAGGCACAGCTCTGAAAAGGCAAGCATCATTTTAGCATTCTCTCTGGCTGCTGAGAGAAAATAGATATTTTTATGGTACTAATAATGACTGACATCTTCTATTAAAAGGTAAATTACAGTTTATTTGCAAGTCAGAAGGGCTTAAAAAGAATGTATTATGTAACATCCATTTGCAGGTTTTCCCGCTAAGCAAAACTACCATGCAATTAGTCCTTCTTCAGCTAACAGTTAAAATAATCGCACCACGATAGAAGACTAAAGCACCTTTATGCATGCTTTCTATTTTTCAATTACCAAATAACTACGTAATTGCTGTTACTATGCATGACACTACCATTAGCATTCAACTTAGATTTTACAGTCCCAGGTTTGAATGTTAAGGAAAGGCACAGCATTACACTTGTTGGCAAGTCCTACCTTGGATTAAAAAACCTATGGAAGTTTTAGCCTGATTAAATGTACAGTAGGGAGTTTTTGTAAGTGCTTAATGAGTAGGGTTCATCCCATGTAATGCAGTTAGCAAATAATTGTGTATTCAGACTAAACACGTTGTCTAGGGCCCCTTTATATTTAATGATAATGGACAGGCGCGGTGAGACGGTAGCTGACTTCATCCTCATGTATCTAAGCCTACTGGAGGTGCTTATCTCTCCCTAGACTAGATATTTACAGTTATTTTAAGTGAAATTGAGAAGGATCCCCAGCCAAAGTGACATAGTAGCTTGTTGCTTTCAAAATCCATAGGATGTGCACACCTAAATCTTGGCCAAAGAATCAAAAGGATGGATAAGAAATATCTTTAAAAAGAATTACAGGGCTTGAACTCAAAGACACATGGCAAGCAGGCACACAATTCATACTAAATAGGTTTAAGGATTTCCAAGTCACGAAGCTGGGGCTGGACTGAGCTAGAAAGCAGCAGTTGTGTTCAGATACCGAATGATATGCTAATGAGGATAAAACAAATTGATCAGCCAAAGTGGTTGGTAGGTAGCATTTTACAGTTAGCAAGGTGGTAAAAATCCTTGGTGTCTGCATTTAGTGATGTCTGAAACAAACCTACCTTACCCTATCAAGAGCACAGAAACAATCTGAGAACTCAACAAGGATTAAATGAGAACTCAACAAGGATTAAATGACATGGAAAGAATGTGGATGACACAGCAGGTGACACATGGAGATGGCACTGGTTAATGGCAAACTGTGTTGACAGGCAGCTAGCAGAAATACCCCTGCACGGTCCTTTTGTCTATAATGTAATTCTTGGTTGTGATGTCTCTGTGAGAAGATGGTAAGAGAAAAGCCTTTTGCTTTCATTTTTCAGAAGAGCGTGATAAGGAACACCAAAACCTACAGCTTTTCTTCCAAATTGTTTTGACTATTTGGCAACTACATGCCTGAAAATATTCTTTATATTATATCTACCTGTCAGGTCAGTCCTACTCAGACCTCACGGATGAGGAAAGGAGGATTAGGATAAAAAGGGAAATCAAAAAATGCAAAATAAATGTTCAGAAGAGTATGATGTCAAGGCACTACTCTCTTCTCAAATGGACTAAAGTCCTTTCTCAGAGAAGATGGATTCTGATTTTGGATGTACCCTAGTGCCAGCATGCACAGAGTTATTTCAGCCTGATACCTGCAAAAATGAGAATAAATTGGTTTTCTGGTATCTTAGGTATGATCTTTACTGCAAAATGCTGTCTCATCCACTCTTTGCAGCAGTAATCACCTCCAGTATTTTCCTGAGGGTTTCCATCGAAAGAGTACTCCTGGAGTACGAGATCCCTCCATTTTCCAACACAAGAAGAAAATGGCTGACTCTTGCTGCCATCAGCAGTGAAGTGACAAGAGGAAGGTTCACCTCCCACAGTTCCAGTGGTGCAAGGGAGATCCAACCTGATCTTCCTCCCCTTTTTGCTCACAGTATCTACACAGACAGTCTTCCAAAGAACTTGGACAGTTAAATTATTTCAGTCATTTAATGGCTCTCTCCTCCTGAATAGTACAATTCAGCAGACTCAAAGGCCTGTGATTGCATATAGTAATTGCTCTTGTCCCATCCCTGCTGGTGATGGATGGACATCATGGTGAAGAAGTCCGTGTTCACCATACCTACAGGTTCATTTGACCTAAAATTCTGCAGTAAAGTGGGTGACACATTCCTGACGGAAGCCCTGATGTGCAGCTGATCGATGATCTGAACTGCGATGGTCTTCCTTAGATATCCTTCCACCTGTTGCTCCTTCTCTTCCTCTTCATCAGACCGTCCATGGTGTCAGCTGAGATTGTCATTGTCTTTGAGAAGGAACATGGCTGGCTCTTATGGGTCCTGGTCTCTGGCCAGGCTGAAGCTGAGGAAACATAACCACTTTGTAAAAACTAACTTGTGTGCTAACGATAATCATCCTTTCAAGATCTTCTGTGCCTACTGGCCTTACGATTTCTCAGATATCTAACACATTACATGTTCCTACTGAGGCCCAGGCCTTTTCCTCCCATCCTTGCTTCCTTCCCGCCTAACCCCAGTTTGCACACGGGTACAGGAAGGACTTTCATATGGCTTTACTGTTCGCAGCGTGGTAAATGAATGTCAACATGCTCGGACTCTGCACCAGCTTTCAAAAGACAGACGAAAGAGGCCTTTCACAGGCATGCCGTGACGCCGGGAACGTGGCTGTTATGCCTACCTGATCTGCTCTGCCTTTCGACTCTGCTGTGCCGACAGATTCCCGAGGGACTTCGATTCTGCAGCTCAAGAATGGGAGCAGCAGAATCTTCAGCAACAGATAGAGGGGAGAGCTGCCTAGTCATGCCTCTGTGTCTGCTGGGGCAGTTGCCTCCTGGCTTGCATTGGATGACAGATGATCGTGAGGCACCTGAGAAGAAAGAGTTTGCATCAGTTTGGCTGTAAACTCTCTGGAGGAAAGCGGGGCTTTCAAACATTCTGTCAGTGAAATGCATACAAACTATTCAGCGGGAGAAAGGAAGCACACTGCAAAAATCAAGGTTTCAGCTCTGGTCAGAATAAAGAAAATAAGTAAGTAAATAATCCCCCCTTATAGAAAAAAAGGTGCTGTATGAAAACCAGACTTTTCCCTGAAGAAACGAGAGCCCTGTGCTGTCATATATTCTTAGCCCCACAGCTCCATCCATAGGGTCTGAACAGGCAAAGGAATTTGTACTCACGTGGGCCCCTTCCTGAGCACTGACATTGCATCAGGCAAAAGGAGAGGTCACCATTCTCCCTTTGGTGGAAAGGAGGGCTGAGGAACCCCTGGGGTCGGTGGTGACAGCCTCTCCAGAGGAGAGCTTCCCCCTTCCATCCTCCAGAATGATCCTTGAGACTCTTGTATGGAATGAAGCCATGGTCATTGACAGGTCTTTTGGATGAAGACTTCTGCTACCATTGGAGACGCCATTTTTAAGCCTTTACATGCACTAAGTCAGAATCTCCACGTCTTCAGAGAAGTTGCTTTTCCTTCTTCTGCTAGGTGCAGACAACACCAAGATGCTGCATTTCACACAGAGGCTGTATAGAGGCACAAGGCAGAAGACAAGACCCAGGTCCCAGAAATACCAGTGGTACCAGATGAAAAGTTTGCCAGTGAGGACACATCTTATGAGTAAGAGCTTGAAGGACTGGATTAAGAACCAGCAAACAACAGAAAAGAGTGCAGTGCTGGAATCTGGCAGAGTGAGCCTGGTGATCTTGCATGTACTCCCAAATTTATTGAAGGCGTCTGTATAAAAGGTCAATACACGAGCAGCACAAGAGAGTCCTCTTCTCAGAAAGTCAAGATGATGGGCCATTTTGGTAGGTTAAAATGTGTGTTCATGGTCAGTTGAGATCACCCATCGCTCGTTTTGCAGTTGCTACTTAAACTGGTGACCATCTTACCTAAACTTACAGAAGACACATATACCCAGAGCAGCCACTGACCTTGCCATGACTTGGAAGGATTTAATTTGACAATCACACCTATTCCACTTTGTAGAGAATACAAAAAGAGACACAAAACCCATGTGTAAGGTGCCAAATGTGCAACAAATACGGCAGACATCTCAGAGGGCAACATTCGTTGTTGCAACATGAGCCATTCAAGCATACTAGGTGTAAATAACCCCATGTCAAACATCATAGAAGTATACTCTAAAGCAAGAACTGTATTCAAGATTCAAGAGACTGCATGAATCGAGTCAACATTCTTTTGCCAGAGGAAGTTCAGAAGATTCATGTAACCTTCAATGAACTTAAAGCTATGTTTGATTTACCAGGTCTAAGTACAAAGATTGCAAAGGAAGACGTGTAGAAAATGGTATTATATAGAAAAAACCCCTCTCAGCCCCCAAGGTCAGTTTTTACCCACCAAATAGACAAGCAACTGAACCAGCAGCCAACCCTCTAGAGATGATCTTTCTCAAAGATGCTCTTCCCTTTCTCCTCTGTCCAGTGTGAGGGAACTCTGACACAAGGAGGATGCCCAAGTCCAGGTCCCACCTTGCCACATAGTTCTACAAATTCAATCAGTGCAGTATACAAGTCACAGTCTATGACCATAGAGTCACAAAAGTTGATTTTGAAGGATTAAGATCTACAAGATGCCTAAGCACTGTATCATATCTCTTCATTTTTTGATGAGCATTACTCCCTACAGAGCTTTTTAGAGCCTATTGGGTATTTCAGACCTTTAAAAAGCCATTCACCTTCATGTATTTTCTTTTTAATGGAGAAATCATGACCTAACAGCCAGACAACTCCCCCCATGACTTTGTTCTACTTGTTTCATAACTCCAAGCCTTACTCCTCCCACTTGTAACAAACAAGGATAACATTACCTACTTTGTAAACATCTTGCAAGTCACTCTGAGGTTGAAAAGTATATTAGAAATGGTAGCCCTGGGCCATTCAACCCACCAGAAACAGCGTAATGCCTTTATTTGACAGCTGAAAGTTAGTTCCAGCCTCAGTGCTTTTGGGGCTAGATATTCAAAAAGGCACTTACGAATTTTCAGGTCCCCAGCTTAAAGAAGTTTTATTTTCAGAAAGCGTTTGCCGACTGCCTGTCCTCAGAGAATCAGCCACCAAGGTGCCTTGACCCAAATCGCTGCTCACTTTGATATGCATCATTTAAAGAGATTTCATTAAGTTGAAAAGACACATGCTACATCTCAATTCAGATATAAGTTAGAACAAAATCAAGATTCACATTACACTCAGCAGAAGTCTAGCAGATCATCCACAACCGAAATTTCAAGGAAACCTATTTTTCCTCACATGCAAAAAGAGCTCCGAGTTATTTATAACTGGTACAACAAAGCAGCATCAATCTTTCCCTGTACATTGAGAAACTCAGCAGTTGAGACCAACACTGCAATTCAAGAGATTGCATTTAATCAAAAGTCACTGCTTGATTTACTGAATTCTTCTTCCCTCATGCTTGAAAGCAGTCAGATAGCATGGCAATTTATCAGTATTTCATTGTTACAGCTAGAAAGCCCGGGCCATCTAATGCTCCTGAATCTGAACGTATTTTAAGGATATAGTTTGACAGGGAAGGTGAATAGATGTATGCTGGGCTAACTTATCCAAACCTGGTATCAGCAGCAAGGACAACAAATCACCATATACACAGCAATGGAACTTCACACGTGTGCAAAGTTACCCCACGTGAGAGGAAGGGAAGGCAGAAGTCACGTACCTCCAGTTCTTCGTCTCACGCAGCAGTTATCAGCTATCAAGCCGGGATCCACTAAGAGCCTCCAAATTTAGAGGGATCAAGAGCAGCATTTTCCATTGAACTTCCATATAGAATCATAGAATCATAGAATGTTTTGGGTTGGAAGGGACCCCTAGAGGTCATCTAGTCCAAGCCCCCTGCAGGAGCAGGGACACCGCTAACCAGATCAGGTTGCTCAGAGCCCCATCCAACCTGGTCTTGAATGTTTCCAGGGATGGGGCCTCCACCACCTCTCTGGGAAACCCGTTCCAGTGTTTCACCACCCTCATTGTAAAGAACTTCTTCCTTAGATCTAGTCTAAACCTACCCTGGTTTAGTTTAAAACCATTACCCCTTGTCTTGTCACCCGCTCCAACACTTCCATGTCCTTCTTGTGCTGAGGGCTCCAGAGCTGGACGCAGTACTCCAGGTGCGGCCTCACCAGAGCAGAGCAGAGGGGCAGAATCACCTCCCTCGACCTGCTGGCCACGCTTCTTTTGATGCAGCCCAGAGTACGGTTGGCCTTCTGGGCTGCATCATACCTTCATAAATCCCACACACTTATGGAGATCTCATGGTCTTAGGTAGTGAGACCATGTCCTCTCTAGAGGGGACAACAGCATGGTGCTGCCACGACTTGCCACGTGCAAATGGAGAAGCAACTATGCACTAAAAATAATACACCATAATATATCTCCTCCACAGAAACGGAGGAGTGACACTGCCTGGGTCAGATTCATTTGACTTATTTTAGACGTCAACCTTAGGATGACAAAAATAGTGCCCTGGGACTATCTGCATCTCCCCATGACTATACAGGGAATGATAGAATCATAGAATGGTTTGGGTTGGAAGGCACCTTTAGAGGGCATCTAGTCCAACCCCCCTGCAGTGAGCAGGGACATACTCAAATAAACCAGGTTGCTCAGGGCCCCATCCAACCTGACCCTGGGCAACCGTCCTGAGCAGAGATACTTACACTGGGTGGGACTTTTTACCTGACTACTTTACCAAACCTTCTTTTAACCTGACCCCTCGATGTAAGAGGTTGCAAGAGGTATCTGTAACTCACTGGGTACAGAAGCCTCGTCCGCTTTCCGTAGACTGACACAGTCAATGCTGAGCATGAACACAGTTCGTGGCGTTAGAGGAGATGAATGACAGGCTGAGAACAAATCTACATTTTGGGCATCATTTGATATTTTAAGGAAATGCTACTGGAAGAGATTGGGAAAAAACCTAACAAATAGGAAAAATCTGGCTGCTAGAAGTGTTCCTTCATTACTCAGAGGTTATAATCAAGTGTCAAAGCAACACTCAGCCCATGGGATTGGCAAAGGAGGGGAGGAAGAACTGGGAAGGACCACATATGATTCTATCAAGCATGTCTTAATGAGTCAAATCCATCTGGATGACTTCTCATTATTGGATAAACACAAATCCCTGCTCTTTCCCATTTTTTAAGATTACTTTTAGTTTATTATTGTGTTTCAACAAATCTTTTTCCTTTCCCTGCAAATGCAGATGCTTTACAGAAAAAGAAGTAAAGCCAGTTCTCTGCACATGGAGACCAAAGGGAAACCAGCAAGGGGAACCTGTGGCTTTCCACGTGCTTCTAACAAAGTCTGGCCTTGTCTTGCATTAATTATTATACACTTATTCCAGTGTACTTCCATTTAGCAAGGTAATTATGCTTGTGACTAACCTAAACCACATGATTAACATCACTGAAGTCCATGCCTTTTCACATTCTTGAACACCATTCCAAGTCCCAGCTGCAGAAGGAGGTGAACACCATGCACTGCTGCTGCTGTGTCCATTCAGTCCAGGAACCGGCAGCACATGTCTTGTCCTGACAACCATTTTCACCATCCATCTGCAAACTATGTGCAGGTCCCTTGACCCTTGACCCTCTGAAAGATGCAACACATGACTTCTGGCTTTTTGTTCACATGCAGATTTCCATACGCAGCTCACACAGTGAGAAAATATCTCCTCAGCTTGGCTAGAAAAATCACTGTTATTTTGCAGGTGGCATGGAAAGAAGGGATTCTGCTTTGAGGTTCGAAATCAATTGTTTTCAGATTATCTTCATGGATATGGCATATTTAGCATGCAACAGCAGTGCCTGGAATACAAAAAAGCCCCATGCCATTTCA